CCTCTGGCCGTAACAGTTTTTAAAAGTTGGTAATGTCAGTTGGCCTTTTGTAACAGATCTAGTTGAATGACCACTTCCAGAATTTGATTTGGGCAGCAATGCACAGAGAGTTCCATAATTGGCACCTTGGAAGATCTGAAAATATAAMTTAATACCACTATACAACTTGTTCATGAACTAAATTTAATTTAAGAGCARACAAGCTTCATCAAATTGAGTAGTGACAGATTTTCTCTCTAACTGGTAAAAAATGTTGATTTAAAAGCATTAATATGTAGTTATTTTATGTCTGAAGCTTCTTTTTGTTGTGTAAAAAAAGTTTGTTTGTGATTTTAGCCTCTGCAGTTCCGTATGTCTCCACTAAGTGTCGCTGTTGAGTTAATGGAAATAAACCTCAGGCACATTAACAGCCTTCTGAGCAAACATATGTGGATTATTAAGTTTGCTTTATTGTTTGCTCTATTTCTTCTTYTGTAATGAAGGAGGAAGCCATGACAGCAACATCAAACAATGAAACAATTTTATTTGCTCACATGAAAACTATTTAAAGCAAAGTTAAATTTTCTGTAAATGTAAAGCAGCAGCTGAACACGGGACAGCGGGTGGACGTGCTGTCTTTCATCAGGACAGATGTGGACACAGATTGGGTTAACCGGGTCAGGTCAAAGTGTCAAACTGGACTCTGTTGTGTTGCGTTCATGTTAAAARGTAAATATTTCACAACCGTAGATGAATAAACCCCACATCACAGACTCCGTCAGGAATAATTTAATGTCTCTCGATGACCTTTGACCCCTCAGGTGTGATGAAACTATGAGGACTGGATACAGAGAGCAAAGGCTGGACTTGTTTACACTGGAAACGCYGCTGGTTATTGACTCTTTGATTCCACTGGGTGAGTGATTAAAAGGCTGCAGCGAGTCATTCGGTTCAGAAACACTGTTGAGAAACGGGCCGAGCAAAGACGAAAAGTTTTTACAAAAAAAAGTCTCAAAGAGGGACTGAGCTGAGATCRTTTTTATTTTCAAAAAGATGAAGTTTTTGATCAAACGTTGACAGAAATGTCACAATGCTGGGTTTGATGACCTCTATGACCCTCTACTGCCACACTATGTTTTACTTCAATATCTGTAAACCACAAATAACAAAATGCAGTTTTATGAAATTATTATTAATAATTATAATAATAATTATTATT